CTTAGAACTAAAATGCCGATTAGCTCCAAGAAACTCAAGCCTGAAACACTTGATGTGCCAGATGCCATTCAAAAGTCGCAAAATAACATGAAATATTTTCATGATAAGTCAGCAAAGTCAAAAGCAGACTTTTCGGCTAATGAATCTGTGTTAGTTTTAAGCGATAAGAAATGGATCTCTGGTCAAATTGTTAAAAAACTTAAATATCTTCCTAGATCTTATTCAGGGTTGCCACAAAAATTTGGAAATGATTTTCCCTGACTTTTCCAGGTTTTCCCTGACGAAAAATGGAGAAATTCCCTGACCTTTGAGAACACGCGTCATGATAGCACAGCCAAATTTACTCCTTGCTAGCTACCATCGCACTAATATAGCGTCTCATTTGAAACACGCTTAAGCTAAGAAGTCAGAAATTAATTGTAGAATATTTGGAAACACAAAAAGGGTTGTTAACTTTTTCTTTTAATTTTGATGCTTTTGACTTTCTTGGGCAACCCAATAATTGTTTTAGAAATGAAAACTTTTGAACGATTGTTCTTTTGAAGAAACACTCTAAAAAAAGGGTCTTCCCTGGTGTTTGTTTCTCTATTTATCTCTCCCTTCCCAGGATTTTTCAAACACCTATTTTTAAAGTGAGCTTCAAATGATTTATTTTTTCAAGTACTTTGATGCTTTGCGTTTGCAATAATCCTAGACACTCAAATTACTTTAAAGTAGAAAAATAAACGGTTAAGTAGTGGTTAGTCATCGGTAGTAGTTGAAATGTCAAAAATACACACAAAAACTGGGCATTCCAATTTGCGTTGCTTGTTGCGTTGGCGACCAAATACGGCTGCATAATTTAACTCTTGAATGCATCGCGAGATATGCCACTTCATCACAATTTATATTGCGTTCAAAACCGAAAAAAGAAAGATTTTAAGTAACTCATGAAAATTGTCAATTTTTCCCTGACTTTTAGCTGTTTTCGGTCAAATTCCCTGACTTTTCCAGGTTTTCCAGAGCACTTTTTTTCCCCTGACTTTTCCAGGTTATCCGTGATTTCCCTGACCATAAACCCTGTTATATTGTTCATACTGAATAAGGGCAAACCTTAAGAAGAAATTCCTCATTTCTAAGGAAAAGTTTCAAACCCTTCGAAAATGATCAAATAGATGAATTGTATTACTTGTGTGAAAAGTCTGCTGCTCAGACAGAACCAATGATCATTGGCGAAGAGGATATCAATATCGAGCAAATAATTCCTGCTATGACCTCAGAAACTGATTCTAGTCAGCAACATGAAGATAGTGTGTCAGAATTCGGTTCGACGTCTCCCTCAGATCTTGTGGTAAATGTCAATCCACCAATTGCATCCAATAGTTCTCTCAACTTAGGGGGGTCCAATGAAGCTCCAGTGCAGTCAGATGAAACATGCCAGCATGCAAGTGCTAGTGCATCTGTAGAAATTGAATCGCCAGCGCTATTTCACAGCCCTAAGGACGGCAGTGATGTCACAGTATTATCTACCAATGGCAGTGAATTTCTGGGGTTTAACACAGATCCGGAAGAGACGCCCCGAACCATAAATCAAAACACAGGTCAAATATCCCATGTAGGAGAGCAAACACTGAAGCTGAGGAATGCAGGTAGAGGAATTAAGAAGAAACTAAATAATGATTTTGTGTACGGTAAACTGAAGTAAATTCTTCCTAGCTCGAATGAATTGTTTCCATATTTTCAGTAATGAATCGAGATTAGCTGTGATAAAAGTACTGATCAACAGATTTTAACTATGTGTAGACTGTAAGTATATTTTGTTTTTATTATCAGTGCCTTAAAATATGTACTTGAACTTGATTGTCACCAATAAACTTTCAGACTGTAGAATTAATAGGGAAAGGAATACTTGGTATGTGTAAGAGGCGATTAACGCCAGATACATGTTTTTATGCAGGCGATTAACGCTGAATTCTTTTATACGGTGATTAACACCATTTTCAGGTTTTGTGCAAGCAATTACCGCCACATTTGTGTTTTTTCCCAGGTAATGAGCTTGTATAGCCATACATGATTAAGGCGATTAACGCCAAATGATTACTTTTAAAGGGGCGACTAACGCCAATGATAATATATTATGAAGGCGAATAGTGTCAAGATTTTTATTCTTTTAAGGCGATTAACGTCTAAATTATGTTTATGGTGATTAGCGCCAAGTTACTTTTAACAAGGGCGACTAACGCAAATTAATCATTTCTATTAAGGCGGCTAACGTCTAGATTTTGTTTTACGGCGATTAACGTCTAGATTTTGTTTAACGGCGATTAGCGTCTAGATTTTGTTTTACAGCGATTAACGCAATATTAATTTTTACAAGGGCGACTAACGCCAATAAATCATGTCAGTTAAGGCGATTAATGCCTAAATTTTGTTTGAAGGCGATTATCGCCAATTATTACCCTTACAAGGCGATTATCGCCAAATATTACTCTCACAGGGCGATTAACGCCAATAACTTATTTCTATAAGGGGGAAGGTGTGTGGTTGGCAGCCCTTGTCACCTGTCATGGCGCCTAGAGTCGGCGCCAGCCACTGCTCTCTCCTGATTGGCTGTGAGCATTCATCAGCATTATCCATTTTGGGCCTGGGCCACGCCGGCCGCCCTTTCATACATTTTCCGTTCTTTGTATTTTCCAACAATACACTCATATTTCCATCATCATATTCGTGTAGTTGTTTGTGCTACCACCTCCACATCACACTATTATCATTTATCCAAATGCTGGGTTCTCAAGAAACTTTCAGTGGCTAAGCTTCCTTGTCGGAGACTCCTAATATTCCCGTTATCACTTGATTTCTCAACTGGAGTTAGTGGGGTCTTCAACTTAAACGGTGAACAAACTAGCGTCAAGCCAAATCAAGCTGCCAGGACTACACATAATGAGAGGAATGAGACGTAACAAGATGATTCATGCAGGATGAATAAATTGGCCTGACTAAATTGTGATAAACTGTTGAGATCAAACATCAGACCTTTTGGAAGATTTTGATTATGAAAATAAGAGTAAGCTGTTCGAATAACTCGGAAAGAACAGATAGGAATGAAGTCAAAGATGGGAACGCAAGACACTTCGGTACAGGAGCTCCACATGGATGAACTTTGACGGATATGTGGAGACACAAAAACTAAAAGAGCTGACCCACTGGAAAGACACTACTGAAACTGTACAACTGTATCTTTTACTTATTTAAGCACTGAAAAACAAGAAAATAAAATAGAAAAATTGGCTCAGTCCTAGTTAAGACTGACAAACGGTCACTGCCACACAGATTGACACAAAATATTGGGAAATCCTAAACGGGCAACAGTTCTTCACTAGAATTATGTAAATTCCATATGGACTCAACAATGTCAGAATGAACTAAGTTCTTCTCAAAGATGCTTAAAATTTAAGCCAACAAACTAGTTACATTACCCCAAAAAGCTGGAGAGGACCGAAAGTCTGTGGATGGTATCGATAATTGGATTGCATTTTGCATTAGGGATGGTCGAATATTTGGATATTCGAATCATCAGCACCGAGATAATCGCATCACATTCGAATATTCGCTTTCGAAGTAATCGAAATCGCAAATTCGAATAATTGCATTCGAATATTCGAATATCGCATTGAAAAGTGTCACAAGTGTCATTTTATCTCTCACAGTTTATAAAAAATCAAAAATTGAAGCAATAATCGAAAATATTCGAATATTCACATCCGAACTATTCAATTGCAAGATTCGATTTCTCAAGTATACTCAATATTCGCATTCGAATTCGGTATTCGTCCATCCCTGTTTTGCATATAGGAACCAAGAGCATTCAAATGTTGCTAAGATTGTGCAACTTTTTTTACCTTGCAAATAGAAACTGATCATCTAAGTAAACAAGTTTTATCGATACTCTCATTAAACAATAAATTTAAGACAAAAATTACCTTTGTAAATTTAATTCCCTTCATGATTTCTGCAATTTTTTTTGCAGAGAATTTAAGTTGTCCGATCTGAGCAACATTGGAATGCTTTTGGTTCCTTTTTGCAAAATTCAATCCAAATAGCAATCCACCTTATCTAGAAGTGTGATTAGTGCAGAAATAATTAGTAATCCAAATGAGAATTATTGGTGGTATTAAAGTAAAAAAAAATGTCCATCCAATATTAGTAGGAAACAGGGGCAATGAATGATCAGAATGAATCTCGCGATCGCCTACAGTTTGACAAAGTGGCAAATTATATGAATTATCCTCTCACCATCCATCAGTATATCATTTAGCTGATTTCGACGGGAGTATGCGATTTATCTGCCCCCCTGATTTGTCCCTTACTTGTGAGATACCTACCTTGGAAGATCATCAGCCCAACCATATTTGAAAGGCTTACAACTAAAAATGCCATCAATGAGACTTTTAGAGTGCTCTGCTTTCATTGCATGATACAAGCATTAGGTGTGAAGCAGAGCTATATAATCGCTGGGAGCATAAATAACTTTACTCAAACAAAGTCTGCCCATAATTAAGAATAGAACCTAAACTGCAGCCTGATTGTTGACATTTTTTGTTGGTCCGGATGACATACATGACATAGGTTAAAAGGCAGAGCGCAATTGGTCAGCTATGTCTTATTGCTGCTTTGTCGTGCCTTTGTCAGGTGGAATGGATGACATACTGTCGGAAACTTAAGAGGTGCCATTAGCTAGTCATGCGTTCAACCCGACAAAGTAGCGGTAAGACATAGCCGACCAATCACGCTCTGCCTTTTAACCTTTGTCATCTATGTCGTCCCGACAAACAAAAAATTTCAACAATCAGGCTGCTGGCAGTTGAACAGAGTGGTGTTAACAAGACTCTCAGAAAGTGTTATGTTTGAAGAATTTTGAAAGCCTGGAAATTTACTTTAGAACGGGTACCTAAACCTTGTTTAAGAAATACAATGCTCCGTGTTTACAGTACTATTCCAGGAAGTGGAAGTATTCAACATACTTGTCCCAGTTATGATCCCACTTGGAGGATGAAGTCAGTTCCGCAGTGGAGATGCTTTCTTTGGGTATTTTAATGAGGTAGTAGTAAGTAACAGCAGCACCGCAACATGCTGTGATCCCATGTGTGGCTACCTTCAGAATACGTAGTCTGAAAGTCTTCGAGGTCATTTTTCACTTTTCCAGCAATGTGAAAACTTCCGCGGTAAAGAGGAGTCAAGCATGAAAACGTCGTAAGAAAAATCACTTTCAAACAATATCTGGAATCTCGGTGCTGAAATTGAACGGCGGCGGGCGGAAGGGCGGACCGTAAGTCGTAAACATAGTGTACATAGACATGGACCAATGACCCCCAACTCCGGTTAGCGCTGACATCAGCGCTCCCTGGCAGAGGGTGTAGTGAACTAAACCGATGATTGGGTCTTCCTGTTTATATTTCCATGCACCACCTATTTATTAGGCTTATCACTCAGTAGTAGGTATGGACATATGGAATTTTAGAAAGTCGTCAAAACGCGTAGATTTGACAGCATCGAGAGTACGACTGAGAAGACCTGCGCGGCAAATGGACGGTACGACTTCATACGTCACTCGATCGCCGATTTTCTCAGCGCTGCCACTTCGGCACCCCGTTTGTCCATACCTGTAGTAGAGTGTACCTTGGGAACAGAAATGGCCATACTCTGTCTATAAAGGTACTCTAGCACCATTTATCGACGGCATGCAGCTTTTTCCGAGGGTCACGAGTCGGCAGCTTTGATTCCGCATGGCGGCCGGCCGTCAACTTCTGCGGCGGAGGAAGAAAGCGTCATTAACGCTGGACAATGTTGGCTTCCCTGAGCTGGGAAGTTGAAGAAAACTCTGATATGCAATGAAAGCACATGCAAACATGTTAGAACTTGCATCTAGACCAGTGCCAACGTGATCCGCGAAGTTGCGATCTCGGAACAACAGTTCAGACAAGGAAAAAAATACTCAAAAATCCTGTAGGGTTATATTTTACACGGCTCCAAAAAATTGCTGTAACTCAGCGAAATTTTGACCAAAATAGCAAATCTTGGGCTCGTCAGATAGCTAAGGATATGAGCTACAACCTCCCACAAACCGCGTTTCAATAACTATTATTGTTTTTGAAATACAGACTTACTCTCAGTTGTTTTGGGACAGCCTATGTATTAGTGCAGAAATAATTAATAATCCAAATGAGAATTATGGGTGGTATTAGGTAAAAAAAATTCCTTACATTATTTGTGAGAAAGAAGGGCTATGAAATTATGAATGATCAGAAATCAGAGCAGTGAATTTCGCGATCGCCCAATAGTTTGACAAACTGGCAAATTATATGAATTATCCTCTCACCATCCATCTGTATATGATTTATCTGATTTCGACGGGAGTATACGATTTATCTTGTATACAATTTATCTGCCCCCCTGCGTAACGCGCAAGGGCCGGTTTTTGAAGGCAGGAGGGGGGTGGGAGCCCAAGTATAGCTAACCTCAAGCTCCATTTCTGCTGCGTCTTGCCCATAAGGATTACATGTGAAAATTTCAACATATGTAAACTTTCATTTTTTTTTGAGGTTTGCTTTCAAAGTTCCTATTTTTTGAGTTAAGAAAACCTTTGGAGGTGCGATTATTATGCAATCTTTTCATTGCTATCACTTTATTCAACAATATTCGGCAAAATATGGGCAGCGTTGGCAGCGTCTGACATGGGTTTAGATGGCAGCCTGCTGTGTGAGCCCAAGTAAACCTAACCTATATCAACTTCAAAACGTTCCGGGTCTCTAACACTGGTCGGCCATTCTAGAGGTGTAGTTCGTTGACCGGGCCCCATGTAGAGTCCCTTTATACTGAGAGTCAAGACAATTTGAATCCATTTCTGATTGGTTCCCGTATTTTAGGCCTCCACAGTGTCACAAACGGGAATAAAGATTACATTTTCACCAATTGCAAAGATTATAATCTGGAATGGACCAGGGAATTACGGGTTCGGCAAGGAACAAATGGAATGAGAGGAGGAACGGAGAAAGGCATTTGAGAATGGGCCGATCAAAGATTACGAAAAACGTTCAATTTCTGTCATCTTTATTCCCGTTTGTGACATCCACGAGCCGAATTGTCTTGACTCTCAGTATAAAGGGACTCTAGCCCCATGGAGAGGCTTAGGACCCAAAAATGGCGGTGCTTTGTTTTGGTTTTTGTGGATGGGAGTAGGGTCATTGCCAACTTTTGACGGTTATCACCAACCGCACTTGCTGCCAACCTTACTACATCTAAGATAATTTTTCTCAAAAATTGCACACGATTAGCCTTAAAAATATGTAAAGATGTCGCAATAGTGCATTTGAGTAAATTTCTCGTTACGATAAGCAAAGAAAACTACATTTTGAGTCATTTTGCATTACATTAATTTATGGCGTCCGCCATTTTTGGGTCCTAAGGGCTCCATTTAGCCTAAAGCGTCCAGCCCACGTACAAACTAGGGGCTAGAGTCCCTATATTGAGAGAGTATGGCCACTGGAGTTACCATCTCTGATTGGCTCAGCCATCTTAGGCTGAATGGAGCCCTTAGGACCCAAAAATGGCGGACGCCATAAAGTTATTGTAATGCAAAATGATTCAAAATGTAGTTGTCTTTGCTTATTGTAACGAGAACTTTACCCAAATGCACTATTGCGACTTATTTACATATTTTTAAGGCTAATCGTGTGCAATTTTTGAGAAAAATGATCTTGGGTGCAGTAAGGTTGGCAGCAAGTGCGGTTGGTGATAACCGTCAAAAGTTGGCAATGACCCCCCTCCCATCCTCAAAAACCAAAACAAAACACCGCCATTTTTGGGTCCTAAGCCTCTCCATGGGACCCAGTGGCCATACTCTCTTATTAATATAGGTGCTCTACTAGCTACTAGGGGCCTCAAAGAGGCTCATCGATGGAACTGGTGACTGTTGCCTTTCAAAAATCGTCGGGCCGACGATCTTTGAGGGTGACCGATGTGTTCGGGGTACATCACCGATCAGATCTTGAAATTTTCAAGGCATTCCGTGCAGAAATGGCTGAGAAATAGAAGAATTAGTGCCAGTTTGAGAGCCCCAGTTTGTACGTGGGCTGGACGCTTTTGATGGGTGAGCCAATCAGAGGTGGTAACCCCAGTGGCCATACTCTCTCAATATAGGTACTCTAGACACCGGTGTTGGCTCAAACCTCGATTTTATGTCGATTTTCGCTGCGTGTCAAACCCGTGTTTGGGGGTGCGCGTCGGTGTTTGGCTGACACGCCTCCGGAGCTGTGTTCCAGGCCTTGACACCGGTGTTAAGCTGATCCCGGGTGGGTTCACGACAAAGAATTGCATCGCGGCTCTGCTCGGTGCTAGACATGTCTTATCTGAACGTGTTCCAGCCAAGTTTCAGAGTGAAGATTTAAAGGTTTTTGGAATTGTTTTGTAATGAGCTGATAGGAATTCGTACGCTCTCATAAAAAGGTCGTATAAAATTTCCCCCTAAAGTCAAGGGTTTAAAAGAAAAATGAGTAAAAAGGTCACTAATCATAAGCATTTTTGTCTCCACTCTTTTTACTTATTTTTGATCTCAAAAATTATTTTTTCGAAAATTTTATATAACCAACCGATGGAAAATTTTACGGTCTTTACAAAAGGTCCTATAACATTTTCCTCTAATATTGAAAGGTTTAAAGGAAAATGAGGAAAATGGTCGCTGATCGTGAGAATTTTAGCCGCGGCTTTTTTTTAACCCATCTTTTTTGTCACAAGAATTTTTTGTTTTGTAATTTTTTTGAAATGAACCGATAGAAAATTTTACGGCCTTTACAAAAAGTCCACAACATTTTCCTCTAAGATTGAAAGGTTTAAAGGAGAATGAGAAACTACGCTAAACTAACATCACGCCCAAGCAAAAAATAAGGAAGTACATGTGATTAACCTCAAACCCAACAATACTTAGTAAACACGGTTGATTATGACACGAACTAACCTCAAACCTCAATAAACCCAGCAGAAACGATGTGAACAGACACGATTTTCCAACGAAACCTCGAATTTATGCAGGAAAATCTATAGCGAGAGCGTGTCCTGTGACACAGGCTGAATTCGGGGAGTTAAAATCGGTCTTGGTGTTAGCGGCCGTGTCAAGCTAAAACGGGTGTTACCTGACACCGGAGTTAGCGCCGTCCTGACACTGAGAGATAAAATCGGCTCTAAGCAACGGCAACGGCAACGGCAACGGCAACTGCCGACCATGCATGCCGTTACTTTGAAAATGAAACAAGTCGGTCATTTTGAGTTCACGAATGACGTTTCCAATGCATACACCGCAATCACACGCGTTGCCTACGAGAATGGAGAGGCCGTAACTAGTCAGTTCTGTGACGTCAAGCTAGTAGATATTTACCGAAAACAACAAGCATCTCCGGGTCATCAGTGCATCGATGAGTGAGGCAGTCGCTGCGTGGACCAATCAGAGTCGCTCTCGATCGGCCGAAGTTGCGCGAGCGGCCCGTTTGAATCTGAGTGGAGTAACGATTTTCGGTATTACGCATTCATTTCCTCGATATTTAGACAATGTCACAAATGAACTAGTTAGTTTTCTAAAGTGAAATTTCATCCTCTTTCTAAACGGTTCTTATGAAATTTTGCGTCAGATCAACCCTGAAAGAGATATCGGCGAGAAATCATCGCGCGGCAAGCGTTCTCCCATAAGAACGCGTGTTAAACCGCGGCCGAGTTTCATCTACTAGTGTGACGTCACAGAATCGTAGTTACGGCCTCTCCATTCTCGTAGGCAACGTCACACGCTGAATGTGGGAGCTGAATGTGGCTTGAATGTGGAAGTCATCGGCCCGATGCCTGAATTTTGCGCGTGACGCGCAAAATTCAGCAACGATTCTCAGCAACCATCGGACCAATTTTGAATTTGTCTGAACTATTCGAGTACCTAGATTTAATACACATCTGGATGAAAATAACTCGAATTTGCTAAATTTCAGCCGTTGGGCGATGACTATTGACTTCCACACTCAGCTGCTAAATTCAGCGTCTGATTGCGGCATCACGCTGGGCGATGTTATCCCAGTAAAGTGTAAAGTCTCCGAATACGAACTTCAAATTAATTTTTTTGAATTATAAGGGTGCGAAAAAAGGAATGATCATTTAGGTATTCCTTTGTAACCACTACAGTCCTTTTCTTTAATTATTGTCCCAGTTTGATTTTTTTTTTTTTTTTTTTGCCATCTTGAAGTTCTGTGACGTCAGGCGGGTACCACTTTTGCCAGGCGACTACCGAATCTGTAGCGCATGGTTTCAAACTCAGGTTTCGATTGAAGTTAGGTTTAGAGGCTCGCCGCTCGCATAAACATAGCTATTGTTTGAGACTATCAAACTCGGATCGTCTGGCCGGGAATCGTACCTGGGACCTCCCGATCATAGAGGTGGCGCTAC